AGGATAATATTCACAATGAAGTTGTTATTAGGATTGTGATTAGTAATAACCTGTTGAGATGATAGTTATAGAATTTTTTCTTGGTTTTTATATATTGAAGTGGCTTGTTGAGATAACAAATATGAAGCAATTTCTTAAGTATTTATGTAAGTGACCTGTTGGAACTACAATCATGAAGAATTGGTTTGTACAGGTTGTTCATAGTTCTTGTTTTGATATTAGTACAATTGAAAAGAAAATAAGGGTTTTTTCTAGTAAGATTATCTGATTGTTTTTTTTCAATGTTCAATGCTTTTAGATAACTGTCAAGTTTAGGGCAGATTTTTATGATACTTTTAAGTTTTGCATTGTTAATAGTGCAGCATATATAGCACATGAGTGGAAGGAGCGGATACATATAGTTGCTTTTCATTTTGTTTCATTTTTTATTTGTCATTTGTTTGTATTTGTTAATACTCCTCAATGAGAGACAAAAGAATTAAAACATTAGGGTTGTGAGATTTAGTGATAAGTTGTGGTTTTATATGTAAAATTTCATCCACTTTATTTTTTATTAGTCAATCAAGGTCGATTTAAACACTAGTTTTTGAGTATTTTCGCTTTCTTTTCTTTTTTTCTTCTTTCGCACGTGTTCGGATTCTATGTCGGGCATTTCCTTTTTAGAGGTTTGTATTACCCGCACAAATAAGTGGATGCGGAGTTACGTAGTTGTTGATGCAGATCTTACTTAGTTAGGGTTAGTGATAGGTTAGTTACTATTCTAGTGAACTGCATCAATAACGTAATCAATTTCGCGGGTTTCCATCGCGTCAAGTGAAATCAGTGTCCAGCTTTTCGTAGCATCCAAAATAGCGCTATTTCTAGTAAATTTGTTACAAATAGCTTGCTATATTTTTTTCGTGCGATTATATGCCATTAAAAAAGCGATTGTTTACTTTTAAAAGATTCACTCATTAACCTCTCGCAATCTAAAAATTCCACTCATTAACCTCTCGCAGTCTAGTTGATAAAATGTCAATTATAAAGTGGTTACTGCAAGAGATCCTACTACGTATTCATATATTATTCAATTGAAAACTATAGTGCATAATCGGTTTTATGATTTCTCATTTATTGATAATCTCTTTATACCGAAAATATACAAACAACATTTAAACATATTAAACACATTAAACAACATAATAATAAATCTATATAAAAGAAATTTAATATTATTACTATATATTACTCAGCTATGTGTAAATGTTCAAAGGTTAAAAGAGTGTAACCCAAACAATCAATTTTTTTTGAAAAAGATTTAGACGAAGCCATTTGAAATCCCACCAATTTGAAACCATGAGGAGGCTCACTAACGAATCTTTGTGCATTTAAGTCACTTCCAAAAATTTCTGAACTATTTACATTTAAATCACTTTTAAGAATATCAGAGTTTGGAGTACTATTGAAAAAGAATTGAATACCACTAATGATACGATCAGAAAAGTAAACTTCTACCGAAGTAATATAAAGATTTTCATTAAGACCTCGAATAGTTGATGCATTTCCACCTTTTACATCCCCTGCAGTGGACACAGGATGACCTTTGTATTTAACCGTTAAACCATGCACGATATCAGAATGGTGAATGTTTAAGCCTGTAATGATACCACGTTGCTCAGGACTTAATTGAAACATTTCTTCATAATCTGCTCCATAATTTTTTACATCTGGAAAAGTACTTTTTCCAACAATTCCATATTGAAGGGTACCAATTCTTCGGTTAGGTGCTTCAGGAGGTGCAGCCCATTTACCAGGCAAGAATTTATTCAAATCAAAAGTATATACATATATCTTCATAAACGCGTCTTTTGCTTCA